ATACAACAATATGTACACTTCTTAAATGGTAGTTTAGACATGAACTTAGGAAGATTACGATTTGTCTTTCTTAGTTGAGGAAAGGAAGGTTTTAGAAAACTAAGTCCATGTTTAATTGAACCAACCCTTTGCCTACCATGAAGGATATTCAAGTTTTCTCTCCCACTACTAATTGTTTGTACCATGAAGAGGGATACACATCATCATACAAACGAACAAGAAAATTCATAAAGGAATTTTCATTCTTAAGGTACTCATTGTCTTGCATTAAGTCATTTACTATCGTTGTCAAGCTATCAACTTTGTCTTGCAAGTTATTTTTCTCATTTTTAACTTTGTCAAGCTTAGAGGTTAGTTTCTAATTTTTAACTTGCAACATTTATAAGCATACAACAAATCATCATAAGATGGACCAACCATAAAAGAAGTATTCCAAGAAGTAGTGTCACTCAAAGAGTTTAAATCATAGCATGAATTACTATCACTTAAGGAGTTTGATAAGTGACAATAATATACCTCGGTATGTTCATCCCCTAGAATTGCTATTAAGCACAAGTTTGCTTTCTCACAAGGTGAAGAACATAAGGAACTAGATGAATCTTCCGAGAATGCCATGTATGCCTTCTTTTTCTTTTTTCCCTTTCCTTTTATTCTTTTTGTTAGGAAAGTCCTTTTGAAAATGACCTTCCTCTCCACACTCAAAACAAGTATTATTGTTATATGCATTGTTGGAGTTGTTTTCCGTTCTAATTGGTCGAACACCCTTTCTTTTCTTTTTGTTGAACTTTATGTTGAAAAACTTTGTAAACGACTTGTTGAATTTTCTTACAAACATTTTCATTTCATCATCTTCACCAATGATTGATTCACTTGATGATGTTTCACTACTTTTCATATTTTGCTTTCTTTCTTTGCTTTCCTTTGAATGAGATGATTAAGCTTTGAGGGCTAAGTATTTTTATTTCTTCTTACTAAGCTTTTGGTTAGCTTCTATTCATCTCCAACTCATACTCTTAAAGCTTTCCAAACAAGGTAGCCATAGACATAGTAGACAAATCCTTAGCTTCGTAGATAGTTGATGCTTTTGCATCACATTCCTTAGTCAATCATCTTAGAATTTTGTTAACAAGCAATTCATCATTATGGAAAATATTCAATGCATTCATTGATGTAATAATTATATGCATGAGGCAATTTTGCATTTCAAATATAGAGTCACCCTTATTCATCTCAAATAGCTCAAACTCTCTAAGGCCGAGTGTCTTGACTCTTGAGGACTATCTACACATCATGGACACTGAGGCTTTGTTTGGGAGTTAGTTTTACGAGGAAAAGGAAAGGGATGGGAGGGTTTTATTAATCTCTTCCCTTGTTTGTGAGTTTAAAAAATTGAGGGAAGGGAATTGGGGATTTTTGCAAAATCCTCCAAAACCTTTCTCACCCTTAAAATTAAAGGTCCCCCAAATTTTAGGGTTTGGGGGGCAAATGTTGAAAATTACCTATCTACCATTAGCATTAAAATGTGAAAACTACATAAATGTGAATCATTTTTAAATATAACATTATTAAAAAAGGCTCAAATATTGACAGAATTTATCGATGAAAATATTTCTTCGAAAATAATGAAATTTTTGACGAAAATCATATAACGTCGAAAATAGAGACGAAAAAAGATTTAGTCATAATCATTGGCATAAAATTTTTATGGAAAAATAATTCAATCAAAATTCTTGATAAAATCTAAATTCCGTCAAAATTTTCAAAGGAAATATTTCCATCAAACTTTTCAACGAAAAATATTTCCATCGAATTTTTTTAACGGAAAACAATTTCGTCAAAATTTTTGTAAGTAAATATTTCCTTCAAAAAGATTTACGCAAAACATTTTCATCAAAATTTTCAACAGAACACATTTCCAGCTAAATTTGTTGACGAAATATATTTATGTAAAAATTTGTGACGACCAACATTTCTGTAAAAAATTCAAACAGAAATTTTTTTTTTTGGTCAAAATTCTTTATGGAATCTAAATTCTGTGAAAACATTTTCCTCAAAATATTTGTCAAAGTTTTCGACGAAAAATATTCCCCTTATATTTTCAAAGGAATACATTAAATTTTTTTTGTAAAAAATTTTAACGAAATTTTTTTTTTATCAAATTTTTTTACAGAATCTAAATTCCGTTGAAACATTTTTGTCAAACTTTTTGACAAAAAAAGTTTCCTTCAAAATTTTCAACAAAATACTTTTTCATAAATTTTTTTTGATAAAAAACATTTTGTTAAAAGTTTCGATAAAAAAATAATTCTAGCAAAATTTTCAACAGAACACATTTCCATACAAAAATTTCGACAACAAGTATTTCTATAAAATTTTTTGACCAAAAAATTTTTTATAAAAAATTTAGATGGAAAAAATATTCCGTCAAAATTGGAGGAAGGAAATACCTTTCAATTTCCTTCCCCTTCCTCCCCCCTTGAATTTTCTCCCTTTCCTTTTCCTCTAACTCTTGTTATTAACACACTTTCTTCATGTTAATGGTTCATTAAGATAATGAAATTATTCCTTTCTTATTCATAGAGTAATAATCTGCAAATTAAAATAGTAAATGGAGCTATCACTAAATCCCTAATAGATCTCAAGAATCTATTACATTTTGGAAATCCATTGTAATCAGTCGTAACATAAGAGTGTAAAATTTCTAACTTAATATAGGTTTTTTTTTTTTTTGGTAAAACTTAATATAGGTTTTTAACTCAGTAATAAAATTGTTAATAAATATTAACTTACATTAATAAATATTTATATTATTTTCATAAAATTGCGTAGACACAGATACGAGAATAATGATTAGTCGTAACAAATAAGTGATATAAAATTGTTAATTTTGGTATTTTAATTTAGAAATTTAGCTGGACAGCTAAGCATAAAAAGATTATCTGATAATTAAGTAATTGTTGTAAAATTAATAAGAATTAGAAGAAGAATAGAGAGATAAGAGAGATAGAAAAATGTAATCTGATTGTATTGTCACACTAACATGATGCTTTATACATGCCTTATTTATAGCTCAAAAAATATGAAAGTTACAATAACTACAATAATTCTCCAACGATCATAACGTCTCTAGTAGTCATAACGGTTATATAACAAATATGTACACCCAATAATTGTTTATAACAGTAATAACGAGTTTTGACTCTCTGCAAGATTGCTTGTCATTTCCATCATTCAATGCTTCAATTAATTATACCTACATATTAAATTGCAATTGGTCACTAATAACATATTAAAAATTAAATTAATCACAAAATCTTCAAGTTGTAGATAAATTAGTTTAGGTGAATAATTTGAAAGTTGAATTAGAATTTGAATAAAATGGGAAATGGCCAACTCACCATTGATTAAACCGGATGGCCTAGCTAGTCCCATTTTTTAAACTATTACTCATCAAAGTCGTTAAAAATGTATATTTATTATGACGATGGGCATCGTTAAAAATTAAATGTATATTTATTAGCAAAAAAAGTTGTTAAAAACGTCAGAAAAGCTTTTTTTTAAAGATCTATTGATAGTATATAGAAATCATTTCATTTGATCACCAAACACCTGTATCAACTACTAAGAGTTATTTCATCTTAATTATGTAGTGATTTCTGGTTCGATCTTGAGAAACAGCAGTATTATAATTTAGGGGTTTATATCTATTATTTAACATAATCACAAAAAAATTTCTACACACAACATTTTGTGGGACCCGCATTTTGTGAAAAAAAAAAAAACTACAGCACGCAAAACGAATTTTTATAACATAACACAATCGTCTTTCTTACAACATAACTCTTATAAAATTCTATAATTTAATAGTGAAAACTTTGTCACTCATATAATTTACCTGACTTGAATGAAATTATAAGTCGATTCATCCATGAACATACCGATAAATAATATTAAGAATAAAAATTATTTCATTTTCGTTCTCGTATGACCAGACGTAAGGTTGGGGGTAACTGCTTACATACCCATGCATGATGCACCTCTAACACTTCTTTCAGAAACTGAGGTGGTCTCATCTATATTTAAAGGGGTTTCTGAATTGCTCAGGCACATATCTCCCAGTGCTGAATTCACTGCTGCATCTGTCTTTCTTTCCTTCTTTCTTTCGTTTTTTTCTTTTCTTCCTCCTCCTTTTTCAATTAGCAAGCTTTTATATATATATATATATATATATATATACCTTGTTTCAATAATTACCCATTTATCTTACCTAGTCAATCTTTCAAATCAATAGCCGGACATGGCCAATGAACCAGACAAAGACATTGCCACTGAATCAAACAATATACATATTATCACGTTGCACCCTGAAAAATGTATATTTATTAGCAAATAGTTGTTAAAAACGTAAGAGATGCTTCTTCTTTTTTTAAATATATAAAATCATTATTATAACTTCTCCCATGAGTTTAAATTTTTTGGTTGAAGTAATTTTTTGTATGTATAGAACTTCGGTGTCACAGATTCGATCCTCACTGCCTCAGTTAGGTAAGCCTGTGCATTGTCCACCCTTTAAGTACGGTAAATTCTCATATAAGGGGAAGTGCTAAAAATATATAAAACTATTTATTTAACTTCATCCAACACTTTAAGTTTTTGGTTTGCATTAATTATTTGCAATCTTTTTAAAATCGTTTGATAGTATAGAAATTATTTCATACTCCTATATGACGCGACATAATATTATTTCTATCTGCTTACATGCATGATACACCCGTGACAATTCTTTCAGAAACTGAGGTCGTCTCATCTATATATAGAGGGGTTTCTTAATTGCTCAAGCACATAGCTCGCAGTGCTGAATTCATTGCAGCATCTCTCTTTCTTTCTTTTCTCTCTTTTCTTCCTTCTTTCTTTTCACTTACCTAGCTACATATATACCTTGTTTCAATTATTACCCATTTATCTTACCTAGTCACTCTTTCAAGTCCTAATAGCCAGACATGGGCAGTGAATCAAACAAAGATGATACGAAGTGGAATCGTCCTCTGTTAAAGTCGATGAAATCTGTCTACAGTAAATATTATGATAAAACATGTAGCATTTCGGTCGTTCCAGAACGACTTAAAGAATTGAATGAGGATGCTTACATGCCAAAGGTTGTCTCCATTGGACCCCGATTCACGACAGGACAAGAAGACCGGGGCGGACGAGAAGACCGGGGGGGACGAGAAGACCTGCTGCTCATGGAAAAGATCAAATTGCAATGCATGTCCTCTCTCCTTCATCGAAGTAATGGCATGGAGGCGGAGGAATGCTTCGAGAAATGCAGCGATGCCATTTTGAACTTAGAGGAAAAGGTTAGAGCATGCTATGTGAATGTCATGAAACTCAACGAGTAAGTCCTTCGAAAGCTTAATTATAAAATTATTGATTGACTATTTATTTATAAACTTAAATTATTGAGTTAAATTGGTCGTTTATGATGGTGTAAAAACCAAGATGATCACATGATCACTCAGTGGCGGACTCAGGCTCCGGCAGGAGCTCGGGCTAAAATATTATGTGTGTATTTTTGTTTAATTTTAATTAATTCATATCATAATATATTTAAATTATATTAAATACTAAACACCTGAGCAGGAAACATAAAAAATAGTTATAATTTTATTAAATATTTTTTAATTTTATTGAATATATTTTAATTTTTTTAAATAAATAGAAATGGAACAAATAACTTAATACAACTTACTCAAATCTCTTACAAAATATATTTTAATTTTTTGATAGGGCTAAATTATAAATTTTAGCCCGGACCAAATTACAATTTTAGACTGGGCCAAATTATAATTAATCATATAATTATACATGATAAATACAATTTGTTAAAATTTAACCCGGGCTGAGGCCACCTCAGAGTGCAAGTGGCTCCACCACTGATGATCACAATTCACAAATTGGCTTTCATTTTCTAGTGAAATTACGTCAATATAAGATAAAATAAAAAAATAAGTTTAAGCAATATTCACACTTCAAGCTCAAAAGACTCGGGTAAAAAAGTGTGTTAATAATATAATATAAAATCATTGATTTGGGCTTCACTTGCAAGCTTAAGCTTTTGGAGGTTGAATTGGTTCTCTGCATCAGTTAAATAAAAGAAATGTTAATAATTTGTATATTATATTATATTTCTAAAGATGAAAATGCTTTGATTCAATTATTTTAACCGAAATTCACTTTTCATTAGAAGAATAGGATAGTGAGAATTGAATTCTAAACCACTACTTAATGATAGATTCTCTTATGCCATGTCATAATTCAACATTTCCAAAAGCATAAGTGGTTGTTGAGTGGATGGGTGTTATAAGTGCGACGACATAAATGTACGTACGTAAATAATGGGGTTTTAGTTTGTCATTTAGTATGACAAGAAAAATTTTCCTACATACAATATTTTATAGGGTCCACACTCTTTAAAGTAAAAAAAAAAAAAAAAAACTAATGCACGTAAAACGAATCTCTATAATATTACACAATCACTTTTCCTACAACATAACTCTTGTAAAACCCATAAATAATTTTTATATTATATTTCAAACAGGTATGAACTCAGCGAGATTATGTTAGTGGATGGGTGTTTTTTGCTAGAGCTTCTGATATCCAAAGATTCGAAATTGAATCATGAACTAAAAATCCACTCCGATCATCCTAGTCCCGGACCTGAAGTGGTAAAAGACAAAGAGATCTTGTCTGATCTGCTATTGTTAGAGAACCAGATACCACTTATCGTTCTCCACGAGTTGTCTAAAACACTTTTCCCCAATGAGTTCACAGAGATTCAGGAACAAAGGGTGCCAAGAATTAATGATCTTGCCTTGCCTCTCTTTGGCTACTCTCAGTTGGGGAACCCTGGTGCCCCTCACCTTCTTTCACTTGTCCACTCAACCATTGACAGGGAAGTTATCAAAGTAAAAGATTGTGAGGAAGTATTGCAGATTGAGGAAATTCGGCAATACCTATCACATGTTGCCAAGAGTCATGTTGAGGTAAAACTGAAGCGTTATTGTGCAACAAGGCTCAAAGCTGCTGGGGTTACTATCACACTCCCACAAAGGGATAGAAGAAGGCATGTCATTCTGCAAGGGAACTGTCTTGGTCGTATGCTGATAAGGTTTGGGAAAATGCTTGTGAATAGGGATTTGAATATGCTTGATGTGGAAAAGACAAAGTTAGACTTTGACATAAAATTCAACAACGGGAAACTAGAAATTCCACAGCTGCATATCACAGGAACAACGCAAGCCAGGTGGCGCAATTTCATTGCTTTGGAACATCACAAAAAGAAATGGAAGAGCACAAGTGTCTTCGGCGGCAAGTGTACTTGGTCTGCATTGTTTTTTGATAGCTTGATATGTTGTGGGGCTGATGTTCAACTTCTTAAGGACAATGGTATTATTGTGGATCATTTGAAGATGGGCAATAAAAAGCTAGAGACCTATTTCAGCACAATATCAACTGGAGTTGACCATGAAATAGTTGATTCTAGTTATGTTAAAATATTTCATGATTTGAAAAATTACTCTGCAGCAAATTTCCTCATTAGAAACTGCACAATATGGTGGCATGTTTTCAGATTCCGAGTTGAACAGTTTATCATGTTTATGGGGAGTGGCTACAACTTTGCAGCTATATTGTTATCTCTTCTCGCTATTCCGCAGACTTTTTATGCAATCTTCCCCTATTATCGTCCCAGTCATGCTCATTGATCAAGTCTTTGTGTTTTCAATCCTTTTGTCTGCAAAGGGGAAAACATTATCTATTGTGATTTGTGACCTTTAATTAATTTCTTGTTTCATATTGTAAAGCGCCACTGCAACCTTCTTGTTAAAGTGGCGTCTGCTCTTTACTATTCTGCAGGCTGTTTATGCAATCCTTGTCTATTATAATTACAAATAATGTATTTCCATGGGTTTCGCCTTTATATTTTCTTGTATCATTGCAATAAATAATTTCTTGTATCACTTCACACTTCTCATATGTCCATATATGTGTCTGGAGAATACCTTCTTCTTTTTCTTTTTTTCCCATAACAAACCCAATTTTCCAAATCCAACAGGTTAAAATCTCACTTGATAGATATACATGAAACTAGTTGCAGGCTATATTTTCAGGTATCAAGAAAAATTATAGGTCTGTATCCAAAAAATTAAAAAGAAAAATTATAGGTCCGTTAATACATGAAGCAATAAAAGCAATTCCTTTCAGTTTTTAAAGCCCCATAATAAACTGGAATTCAACACAACTTGCTCTTTTTCATGGAAGCTTAATTCTAAACCACGTCTTAGATGGCAATTCCCAAGTTAACTATGAGCCTTTAAGCATATATAGTGTATCAAAACACTAATATAGAACATAGACAATATAATGTTATGCTACGCACCTACCATGAATTAGCACATTTACATGGAACATGGTATCACATAATCATTCATGCATTTTAGATAACAACATATTAGTAATAGAATATATTTGGGAAGAGTTATATTTACAAACTACACTATCTACTCCTGAAAGTATATAGTGTATTAAGTTACACTACGTACTTTCGGAAGTACATAGTATAATTTGCAAACATTTATAAAAAAAAATTGTAAATAGATCTTTTTCTTATATATATATATATGATTTGTTTTTTTTACAATTAATATAAATAACTTCTCTATATTGAATCCAAAACGACTTCATTTTAAGACAGAAATCAAGGTATTTTTGTAATTAAAATTTGTTCCGGGGTTATAATAGTCTTTTTCATTATAATTTTTTAATTTTTCAACTCAAAACGATGTCATTTTGAGAGCGAATATAGATAATTTATCTACATTTACTGTAGAAATATTAAAGCCATATATATATATAGGGGTTTGCATTCATTATTTAACATCACACAAAATAGTTTCCTACACACACAACATTTTGTGGGGCCCACACTTTTTGAAGCAAAAACTACGGCACGCAAAACGAATCTCTATAACATTATACAATCACTTTTCCTACAACATAACTCTTATAAAACCTCTATATATATATATATATGTGTGTGTGTGTGTGAGGTAGGATCCTTTGACACCGGTGTCAAATTTGAAATTTGACACCTCATCTGAGAGCCGTTAGATCGAAAAAGATCAACGACTCTGATTTGTAAGCATGTGATACCATTGATCTTTTTCGATCTAACGGCTCTCAGAGTAGGTGTCAAATTTCAAATTTGACACCGGTGTCAAAGGATCCTACCTCTATATATATATATATATATATATATATATATATATATAGGAAAAACTATTCTCATGTCACATGAGGTAAGTTTTCTTCCTACACACCCTTCGATAACCGTGCAACATTTTTTTTTTCTTTTTTAGATAGTGGAACCCACCACTATGTGTCTACAACATAAGATTTCTTCTCTCATGCAACATGAGATTAGATAAACTCTATATATATATATATGAGGTAGGATCCTTTGACACCAGTGTCAAATTTCAAATTTGATACTTCATCTGGGAGCCGTTAGATCACAAAAGATCAAAGACTCTGATTTGTAAACATATGACACCATTGATCTTTGTTGATCTAACGGCTATCATATGAGGTATCAAATTTGAAATTTAACACTGGTGTCAAAGGATTCTACCTCTATCTATATATATATATATATATATATATATATATATATATATATATATATAAAATTTTATGACTTGACAGATCTGTCGTAGACTAATTAATTCAATGCTTTTGCAACCAGGTTACAGCTAAGGGATGATTTATTTTAGAATTGAGGAATCCAATGCATAGACGTATCAGATCATGGTAAATTCAACCTTCGCCACTAGATTACAATTTACAACTGAGGAATGATGTCTTCCAGAATCCAGACTTGTAAAATCCAAAGCATATACGTATTAAATTATGGGAAATGCAACAGACGCCAACCCCATGCTTATACCTATTAGATTATGGTACATGGAACCGACGCCAATAGCTATAGGAATCAAATTGACTTTATTTTTTTTATTTTTGTTTTCTTAAAAAATGACTTGACTTTGGATTATAAGGAATCCGTCGAACGAACGATCAATGAGGTCAAAAAAACACGTCGTTTAGCCCGTTCAGTAACGTGGCAAAATATAACAAAAGACGTGGTTAATTGAACTACCACAGCTTTGCCAAACGTGGCTAATCCTGGCATGTCATTTATTTGGCCACATTTTTCTTCTCGCTTTGCTACTGCCGTGTCATCAGTGTGGTAACATTATTTTGGCCATGATTATTTTTACATTAGCCACATTACAAATGTGGCTAATTTGTAAGAAGAGAATTAAAAAATAATACACTCATATTTCTTTTATAATATGCTGCTACCCAAATTTTAGGTTTTTCTTCTTTTTTCTGTCAATTAAAATTTTACAAAAAATAAAATAAAATTCTACCCAAAATTTCAAGATCTATATAAGAAAATGTTGATAGCTACAAATTTTAATTCAAGACATGCATAGCTAAATAGCGTAGCTAACAAAATGTTATCACGCTCACAGCTGTTGTAGATAAGTGAGAAGAACGTAGCTAAAAAAAATTGCAACTCCCAGATCAGCTACGGTCACCAAAACTGTGGTAGACAGATTTAGCCACGGTTTCATCAACTTTCGCCACATTTATAATAGTTGCTAAAGGCCATTTTTTTTTATAGTATTAGCTTCTTGAATTGTAAGTAAATCAACTTTTTAACTATAAACTTTACAACTAAAATTATAACCATATTTTAACTAAACAAAAGTAACTAAGATATGCGTTCAAAATTTAACAAAGTATTAAGATCATTGGAATTATGCAATCATGAATTTCTTTTGTTTAATTCATATCCCTACACTAACACGTGCTATAGCGCCCTTCTTACAGAAAATCAATGTCCGAAGCACTTTTTTTAATTTTCCCAAATTAAGATTTCTAAACTTAATTAACCATATCCCTAGGTGTTAAAACCAGATTTGTAATCGACAAATTATTAATTTCCTCTTTAGATTATTTCTAACCTTTGAAGATTTCAATTAACAAAATATCACAACACTACGACAAAAGAGGGATTTAATGGCGATTAATTTATGTCGGTTAAACATAACAGCCCTTAAATCTAAGATAAGGGATTTGTGGCTCTTTTTACGAGTGGTTTACCTAAATCTCCTAAATCTAAAAATTAAGTCTGGGCTACTCTATAATGTGTGTCTTCTAACTTTGAAAATTCTTGGTTACGTCACATTCGCCACTCTCTCACTCTCACCACAAATCCCTAATCCCAATTTGCTTTGTCACATGAGGTTTTCTACAATGGCTTAATAACCTTACTAATCGAAAAATGCCCCTTCAATAAGAAATTTGATAGCTTCTACACCGTCATTGTAACACCCCGTGTTAACCCGGTTTGTTAACATGTCATCGTATTAAGCCACGCTTAATAAAAAATGCGGAATATTATTTTTCTTTTCAATTATAACGTCATTATTCTTACCAAGTTGAATTACTTAACTCATTTTCAAAACATTGCATGTATGTAAATGCAAAAGACAAACATCTATACTAAATAACCTCATAACATAATTAAGATCATTAATTGAGTCTCTAGTCAGAGCACTACTTCACGTAAGCCGGACAACCCTAATAGTTTATACAACCCAAATCTAATCAACAACATAATCCAATGTGGCATGGACAATCCCCATGCTCACCAAATAAGGGAACAAGGCCCAACAACAGTCTCAACAATAACAGCATAATCATAAAGATAACATAACAACATCCAGCATATAATCATAACAGCAGACATCTAACTCAGCTCCGGCCTCCTGCCGCTAGAGGTCTCAACCCCCGCATTACCTGAACTTGAAATGTGTGCCCCAAACGTGGGGTAAGATCTCTAAAAAGAAATCTCAGTAAGACAAGGGGTCCTCGAGGACTCTTCCGCCCCAAGCTCACTTACAAGTATAATATAAGTTCAAAAGCAGTAAATTCAATGCATGTTCATGTTAAGGCATTTATATCATGACAGTATAATCTCTTGCTCAATGAGCTAAATACTACAACTCATTAATCATGTGATGTATGTAGATGCTGTTCGACTAGCCAGGGAACAGGATAGGGATTATGCACGTCTGCAACCCATCTAAACATAAGAGTCGTAGTCTTATGCCTTACACATCAGAGTCGCTGTCTGATTGTATAAGTAAACAACATCACTTCCATACACTACATGCCTTACACACCAGAGTCGCAGTTTGATTGTGTAAGTAATCAACAGACATATTCACATATCTCAGGCATATATCAATGCATATAACATTTTCATAAAAGCATATCATGCATATATACCACCCTCCCATGGAGGTCGGTGGAAAAACCAACAGATCAATCCGAGGACACGAAAGCTTACCTTGCAAGCTAGCTATCCAAAACAAGAGTCCACACAAGCTCAAAGTCCACAAACAGCAAGATCACAATCTGTTTGGACCAATAATCACATCAATATTCATACTCTACACGCACATGACATAAAGACAACGCCTTTCCTTTACGTTTCATGTCTTTAGGCTTCTCACAAAGCCACAAGCCCTTAATCAATTAGATTCTAACTTAGTTTAATTATTACAGAGGTTCAACTTAGCCAATCTAGGGTCCACAAGCCCATAGATCAGTTCTGTATGAACAGTAAGCTACTGTTCTTCGAAAACCCAGAATTTCCGGATTTGTGTCGGGGGCATATCCGGATATCAATATCCGGATATCACAAGACTCCATATCCGGATATCAATATCCGGATATCACAGAACCCAATATCCGGATATTTTGCGACAGAATGCAGTTTCTGCATTTCGCGAGATATCACTCCCAAGGTTGGGTTTTTAACCCATTCCAACGTTAAAGCATGCATTTTTATCCTCTTTTAAGTTCATATATCAGTTGGTTACTTGTTTAACTCATTAAACATGGTAAGACTCCACTTTTACCTATTAAAACTCATGATCAAAGGTGGTAACACTTACCCAAGCTTAAAACAGAGCAAGAAGGTTCTCTTGGAGCTCTCACTTCAGCTCCTACAATCTGACTAGCAAGGGAAACGAAAATGCCAACCAAGCTTGGTCCTTTCTTCACAAAGAAAGCTTCTTGAAGCTCCACAAGCCAAGAAAATGATCCCCACAACCCAAACTCAAACATTCAGCCCCTCACACCCACAAGACAACAACCAAAACTCAGCAATGGTGCACTCTACCCACTCACAATGATAGCTCACACACTCACAAGAGGTTTTGATGAAGAGAGTAGAAGGAAAGTTGACAACTTGCCCTCCAAATGGTGAAGATGAGCCATGAAACAGTGGAGGCTGCTCAGTACACACAAAACTCACGCATAAAGGCTGGAGGATCAGCCTAGGGTTGTGTGTAAGTGGCTATTTATAGCCGGTTTAAAGTAAATCGCACAGTATTAGCACTAATAGTTACGCTTATCATTTTAATCCCAAACTTAGGTTTCTGAACCTACTCATTTTTTTAAGATTTTTCATATTTTTATTTTATTTTTCGCAACACCTTTTCGGTACGCGCTTTTTCATAGCCAGTATCAGTTCTGGCACCAGTTCTTATTATTTTAACTTGAAACTTGTTTTACAAGTCCTATATATTATTCTAGTGACATATACACACTTTTTATAATTTTTCGGGATACTTCATCGGTACGCATTTATATCGAGTAGCAGAACCAGTATCTGCACTTTTCGTCCGAAAAACGACTTTCAACATTCTTACTCACTTACTATAATTATCTAAGCCTCATAATAATTATTAGGGTCAATTATGAAATTATTTCCTAATTCTCATATTTATTTAATTAATTTCCTTAATTAACGGTGCGGGTTCTTACAGTCATCTTCGACGCCAGCAACTTTGGCATCCGTGCGCATGTCTTCCATTTCGACCAGAACCTAGATCTCGTTCACATTAGCAAAGATCTCAAGGCTTTTGTGCAGATTAAATCAATTTTTTTCTCATTTTTTTGTTCCCTTTGCATCCTATAGTTTTCCTTTGAGTTTTGCATATTAAATCGAGTTTGAGTGGATATGCTTAGAAGTAGCAGAATCTCTGACTTCGCTCTTAAATAAAACAGAGTCTTGCTTCTCGGGAATTGCGATCCAAGACACAGTTCAAGTTACGGTGTGTGGTTTATTTTTATTCTTGTTTTTTATTACATCAGATTATATATGTTTGAGTTTCTGTGAGAAAAGTTGAATTGAGTTTGTGTGTATTCAATTTCAATTGTTTATCATCCATTACTTTTATGTTTCCCTTTGCTTTTTCCAAATTGATTTGGAAAGCATGTTAGTAAGGTGTATATGTTCTCTTGCAATTTATGATTGACTACAAGGCAGCCTAACACTTTAAGTATGGAAATTATTTTTATTGTAATATTATTTATATGTACAGGTACGATTGAACTTCTGATACAAATGGAACATGCTCTAGGCCACAAAAAGTTCTCATTAAAATTTTAAATGTACAATCAATTCAATAAATACATTGTAACTTATTTAGATTCTTTGATCTGATTATTGGGATTAGCTCGGTATCATACTTGTGATCTATTTTCATATTTTTCCTTCATTTTTTTTGAATTTTATGTTTCTTTTCTGACAATTCTAAAGTGCAAGTATTATTTTACTTCTATAATTTGTAATGGTTTAGTTTTCTTAATTTCTAATCTATTCTTCGCATAGTCAACATTTATATTTTTTCTTGCTATATTGAACTTATTTTGCACTACCTCAAAATTTAGGTCCTTTTACAGGACTTGTCCATTCCTTGAATGCATTCACTATCTCATCAATGCAAGGAATTATTGAAGTCAAGAGATAACTTCAATACATCATCAGGTGGATGAAAGGTATGTGATATTTACTTTCTCATGTTGCTAGATGCTGGTCATGAGAAGTTATGTGAACTGATTTGTTATGTTGTTTAAAATTGAAATACCAAAAACAACCATATAAGTATGCTTTTCAAGTGTTATATACATGCAGTGAAATTTAAATTATTAAATTACGTATTGCCACATGATTATTTTTTATTACAGGAAAAATTGTCCTATGATTTGATCCTCAGGTCAACATTTCCCATTGTTCAACATCCCTTTCCATCAACATCCCATCTCATGTCCACATTTCATTAAAATGTCCACTTTCCCTTAGCCACAACTTTTTGCTCATCAACGGTGGTAGCCCCAGTAGATAGTATAGCCTCTAGTTACCCTTTAATACATTTTGTTGCCAATCATTAGGATATGAAGTTTGTTTTTGCATTGTATTTAACACTAGTATTGTGTAGTATTTAACACAACTCGATCTTTGTCAAAATGTGCAGATGACTATTCATATAAATCCTTTTTAATTTTACAGGAATTTTTTATGATGGAAACGCTCTTTGCCAGGCTTGTGAACAGTCACTGTCATCTTTGCAGAAATCAACAAGTTGAGATGCAGGGTTAGTTATCATGCTCTGAAATTTCTTCCTGATATAGAGCAGATGGCTGATTTAGTAGCATCCAGGATGATTTACTAGCATCCTTGTTGGCATGCCGACCCTGAATAATAAATTGAATATTTACGTTTATATATGGAATGTTTTTGTCTTTTTAGCTTCTTGTGTTCATTCAACTCAATTTTGGTTCAAATCAACTGAATAATAAATTGACTATTTACGTTTATATTGAACTTTATCCATGAAGATCTCTCAATTTCAATATTACATCCAAATTGGAATGTCATATGTTTACTTAAAAGTGTCAAGTTAACAAATTAGGGGTTGATGGGGGAATAAAATAAGTCAAACAAAAATGCTATAAATCATAATACAACAAACTAAGAAAAAGAGTAATGTTTTTTTTACTGTATAATTTTTTTTTAAGATCACCCCAACATGCCAAATTATACCCCATGTAACTTTTGTTAATTTGTTTGTCCTTGATATCATCTTTAGAATTCTTACAGATTCTAGTGCAAGCCTCAACCTTATATCTATATGCATGTTGGCCACAATTTTGTATCCTTATACTATAAATGTCTTCTATTGCATGCAACATGTGTTTTTCTACATTAACTTTGTTCATTTTCAAATTGGTTTTAGTTATTGGTAACTTCTCTTTAATTTTATAGGAACTTGAGTTTTACACTACAACAATCTCTGCATTTAAAGGCGGTTGGTTTGACGTTCAGAGGCAGTTAAAACCGCCTTGAAATAGTTCGATCGGCGGTTGAACATCCGCATCTGATATGACTGTCGAGATGGCAAACAAAGGCGGTTAGGGAAAAGCGCTGGAATATCTGCCAGAAGAATACAAGGGCGGCTATTAAGGCGGATAAAGTCGACGTAGATTATTCCAAAAACAAGGAAAAACTGATTTCAAGGCGGTTAGACAAACCGCCTCCTAAATCAATATAGTGGTGTTTCATGTGGCGGAATGAGAGGTCGGAAATTATTTGAAAAAAATGCAAAAATTAGTCGTGGCAATTGGTTAACCGCCTCAGAGTAGAGTATTTATTTTTTATAAAAAAAATAAAATAAAAAATTGTTTTATTTATTTAAAAAGAGGTGAAACTTATTTATTGTTTAAACGTATTTATTTTATTTTGAAAAAATAAAAAATCACCACATACTACCACACACATCTGAAACGTATTTAATTTTTTTTTAAAGTGAAATTGTTTTTAATAAATTATTTTATTTGAAAAATCCAATATTATTTTATTCAAGGCTTTATAAACATTGGTGCATGGAGAATATGTATGCAAAAAGTAAACGTCATTCATTCTGTAAAATGGAAAACAGTGATATTCATATATACCAAAGGTTAATATATATACAAAACGGACACAGATAACCAGGGAAAAAATATCCATGTTCTATGCAAAACTAGGTACTTCCTAGCTTACATCCAAAAGATACCCATGTTCTATGCAAAACTAAGCAATTGGTAACATCCAAAAAATACCCGGGTACTGCTGTAGCATGAAAAACCTAAAAATTGAAAATACAATGTTAACATCCAAAATAACCAAATTCTATGTACAACCCAGTAATATCCAAAATACATGTTCTATGGAAAACTTCCAAATACTGGGAAATTAAGATTATGGTGGTGGGGGTGCTTGATTTGATGTTGTTGGCCCATCAGAAGGGTCATGACTAGCATGGGAGGACTTTCTGATTCCAGGAGAGCCCAAGTCAACAACCTGATATAGTGGGGAAAAAATAACATACATTAATCCATTAATTAATTAGAAGAATGTATGTTGAGAAAACGCAAAAATAGAAGAGAAAAGTTAGTTGGAGAATTGCAGATATTTGTGTTACTAACAGAGACAGGTACATGATAAGTACTATTTATACACATAAGAATAACTCATTTCAACAGAACAGAAATAGATTGCTTAATAGGCTAGAAAGTGCAACTGAGCAACCAAATAGTCCATACACACGTAGGACCCAAGACATGTATATATATCCCAGCAACTATATAATCCATACATACTAATAATTGAAGAAATTTTGTAATATATATACCACAAACCATATAATCCATACAGAGTAATAATGAAAGACAACTCAATATACATCCCAGGAAACATAATCCATACACAGTAATATAAAAATAATGTTGAGTATAATAGTACAAGCAACCAGTATGGTATCCATACACACAAATAATCCAAGACAATTACAATATATATATATATATATATATATATATATATATATATATATATAGCAGCAATATCAAAATAATCCATACACGGTAATATTCCAAGATGTTGAGTATAATAGTACCAGCAACCAGTATGGTATCTCTCTACAAACAAATAATCCAAGACAAGTACAATACATAACCAGCAATATCACAATAATCCATAGACAGTAATATTCGAAGATGTTGAGTATAATACCAGCAACCAGTATGGTATCTCTGTACAAACAAATAATCCAAGACAATTACTAAAGGACAAACCAGCAATATCAAAATAACCCATACAGAGCAATATTCCAAGATGTTGAGTATAATAGTACTAGCAACCAGTATGGTATCCATGCACACAAATAATCCAACACAATTACAATATATATATATATAGCAGCAATATCAAAATAATCCATAGACAGTAATATTCCAAGATGTTGAGTATAAAACCAGCAACAAGTATGGTATCTCTGTACAAACAATTAATCCAAGACAATTACACAAGGACAAACCAGCAATATCAAAATAACCCATACAGAGCAATATTCCAAGATGTTGAGTATAATAGTACCAGCAACCAGTATGGTATCCATACACACAAATAATCTAACACAATTACAATATATATATACCAGCAATATCAAAATAATCCATGCACAGTAGTAATCGAAGCCATTTTGAATATGTATACATTCAACCATTTAATCCATACACAGACAACTTAATATATATGCTCTATTATCGTAGACAGCTTAATATTAATCCCAGCACAACATAGGAATTTAAATTTTTTGGGGTAAACATTTAGAAATTTTTATGCAAACTCAGTGAAACAGTATATATGACAGAAGTACCACTAATCTAATACATTGCACTAGAACCACATATTTTACAAAGGAAACAGTAAAAAATTAAATATAATTAAACAACACATGTAAATTTGCAGAAAAGGTGTCATATACCTGATTAGATGGTAACTGACCACCAAAATTATGCCTAAAATGTGCCATTTGCGCTTTGAATGTATCCAGCTCTAGCATCTTGCCCTTTATAGTATCCAATTCTCCTTTCAAGGCATCATACTCAGCTTGTGTAGGACCAGTAGAAGAAGTTGATGCTGAACTGGTAGATGTTCTACGGATTTGACTTGGGACCACTCCAAAACCCATGCCTCTAACCCGACCTGGGTGTTCCTTCCCAAAGACATTTACAAAAGCCTCTTGTTCAGTATTGGCTTGTTCCAACTGTTGAAGTAATTGGTCCTACATACAGGGCATGAGAAGCATGTAAAAGTGCACCTTAAAGGTAGAAAGTAATGTAAAAAAATAAATTACAATTAGAATGGGTATACATTTTTTAGCATAACTTCGTCATTCACAAAATTGCCATCTTTTTTCTTGTGAGAAACAACATACATCTCACCTCTGCTATATTTGCGCCCTTCTTCTATTTCCTGACATTTGGCATAACACAAAGGCCATTATTACAATTATTTATAGAAGCAGAATATAATCATAATCAAAAATTAAACATGTTTTAAAAGACCATACCAGCTCCCTTTTCCTCCTTGCTAACGTCTTTGCGCCAAGTGTATGCGGGATTGTTTGTTTCTGTCTATTTGCAGTATTGATGATACTATACTTCTGCATGTTCAATGAAAAAAATATATATTTTTTTAATAGAACAGACAACAACCGAACACATCTTTTTGGCATTCTTCATTACCTTTGCTTTCTCACTTGTTTTATATGTCAAAAAGCTTGCCCATTGTTATCTTGTCATGCCATCAGGGTAAAGATCAAGGTTTTCCTGAAAAGATTTGTCTTTCTCATATATCTCATTGGCTAGTCTCCACCTATTGTCTTTCCACTTCTTACCCATGTTGCCCGTACAATAATGGTAGTGGTCATCATTATCCATAACGAATCTCCTCTGCAAGAGCTATAAATTATACATAATAATTTAATTAAAACTTAAACATTTTTTAAAATTAAAAAACCATTCTAGCCTTAATAGTGTTGACCCAAACATCTTCCTTGTAGATTTTAGGTACGTCAGGCCACCTTGCATAACTTATAGGGAATATGTTTGGGTTACACGCAATGTGTCCCAAAAATCCACCCAATAGGCCAGCAGCCTCCCCAACAGGTTGATTATCTTCATTCCATTCGATAACTACTCTCTTATGAGGAGGAAGAACCAAAAGATCTCGCACACGTAATCTCTCCTGATCAGCCACTCCATTATCAGCTATTATGTTGTTGTTTAATGCAAGAAGAAGATAAAAAACTGGATTGTGAGAATATGTTAATGAAGTATAACATTAATATAAAAATGCAATATTGGTTACAACAAATGCAGTTACCTAACACATCAACAACCCAATACTTATTGCATGTCCTTTGGGAAGGGTTTCGTGGTATTTGATTGGATGGCTGAGATTGACCAACAAGTGGATCAGATTGAGGAGGTTATGATGTAGGTTGAGCAGATGAAGATGCAGCAGGTTGTGGTGCAGATTGAGCAGGAGAAACTTGTTGGTGGACCATCAAATCATGTGGCTGACTATTCAATTCTTGAGTCGGTACTAGAGAGTTTAAGCTCTGTTCTTGTTCAGTGCTTGTGATTTGATTACCATTGGAGGTTGTCGAGTTGGTCCTTTTGTGAACCTCTTTGTACGTGCCATTGTCCTAATTACACAAGAAAGTTTGCATGCACACATATATAGTGATATAGAATATACAAATCCCATTAAATCAGTAAGATCAGTAAGTACAGCATGATATGTTATTTTTGCAAAATTTAAACCAATGAAATATTACTATGCTAGTGTAACTTTGGTTAATTATACATGCAAATCCAGCATGTACACATTTTGATATTCATTAAACCAGTAAAACAAACATGTACAACAAAAAGGACAATACAGTTGTTCTTTGATAAACTGTTTAACACTATAAGCCTTGTAGTGATGTGAACAAAAAACATCACTTATATGCTAGATACGGGACAATATCCAAACCTAGACTCCAATATAAACAAGTACACTAACTGTATTCAGGAAAATTATTATCATATTTCCATTTCTTCATCCTCGTTTATATTAGCAGGCAGAACCGGATTGTCAACATCCGTGGAAGGTCGTGATAATTGTAGAAGTGTTGTGTCATCCACATTAACATGATCCAAGTTCTGTGAAGGAAATTGGCCAGTCCATGTCATAGTATCTTCACCCATATCAAACAAGTCTCTTGGCTTGACATGAATTGGTATGCTCCAACCTTTTTCTTTTTCTTGTATTTTTTGGGTATGAGTAGTGATTTGAATTTACAGTTTTTCATCATAGGGTGTGGAAACACTATGCTTGAAAGCAGCTCACGGAGAGTAATTATATGTAGATGTGGTAGGATATGGTATTGACTTATAGTGTGGATTTGATTCTAACTTTATCCCTGTAGCAATAGCTGTAATAGAGTATGGGTAAATAGATGTTACCATGGGTGGAGATAGGAAACACATAGGTGGCTGTGAAAGTTCATTTTGCGGGCAATCTTCATCTTTATCGTCATCGAAGCAGAAGTTGTGCGACTGTGGAGAAACGGCTGTGTTGCGTATGTCTCTAACAAACAAGAATCCACGAAGGATGTTCTATGGATGCCCTAACTACAAAAGAAGTGACAAATGTCATTTCTTTGAGTGGCTTGATGAACTAACTTGCCCTAACTGCATACACAAGGCCAAATTATTGAAACTCTATGACAATTTGTTGAAAATATTGGTGGCATTCGTAGTTGTACAAGGAATAGTACACGAGATTAGCTTATATAAGATGTAAAAATCTTGTGGAGTACGGTATTTTGTAGGCTTACGGTTCTAAGGTACATTCTGTCCTTTTCTGTTTGCCCTTACCCCATTCATGTGTCTTTCTTAACTGATATTGTTTTTTTTTCTAGGTCGCCAATTGAAGGGTATCAAGGTATTGATGTGCACGTCAAAAGTTCTTAACTTTTCTAGTCGAGGTTATGAACATTAATAGGGTGCATTGCATAATATTGTAAGCAATACATGATAACTTATAAATATTTTATTATATTATATTTTGAAGTTGTGATGATATCAATAGGGTGCATTGCATTATGATACGTATACAAGTCTTCACTTCTATATTGGTCATAGTAAGTTAGCATTTCATATGCCTTTCAGCCTTCATCAGAGCATACCACATCTCCAGCCTTCACTTGTAAATTCATAACATGGTTTTATTTTTTTTCATCCTAATATAACCCAACCTTACCTAACTTAGTCTGATTAATTTTAATTTTCTGATGCAGCCCCTTATAACTTATTATTACCGCTGCACTCCCTCATTTTAGTGCATGTGCACTAATTACATGCAATTATAACACTTCGATCCTAATTAATTGTGGAAGTCTCACTTTATAGTTTCGACTTAATGTTGGAGTCCATGCTTGATACTTGTATGGAGATCTTTATTGTTTCAAATGCAAAAATATTGATGCAAAATGATACCTGCAGTAACAAGCAACGATCTAAGCACATTCGTGACATAAAATTTGGAATAAGTACAATAATTCCAAGCTAGCAATTGGCATTTCAACTTTGGAATAAGTACAGTAATTAAGCTCATGCTATCAATGAGCACCTCTTATTTCACATACTATATTTTGTACCAAAAAGATATTGGCTTTTGGGTTGTTACCTTTCTTACGTCCGCATATATATACATGCACTACAAAAAACAAGGCCTATAGGTACATTAGTTTAACCACATTTATTAAAATGTTCATAAAAATCCGGAAATACCCCTGATTAGCCACATTATTTTCAAAATGAAGTAAAATTATTTTTGAGTTTTTTATTTTTATTTTTTCTAAAAAATATTTTTCATTTCTATTCACTACTCTGTTAGTCTATTCTATTAGAGAAAAACCCTAAAGTCTATCTTCGTTCATTAGGCTTGGAACTCGGTTCCTTTCTTAATTCCGAGCTTCAAATCGTGGTATAATATCTCAAAGCAAGTAAAATTTCTCAGTGCTAAGGTGACTCTAGTTTCAGATCCTTGTAGATCTATGAAGGTTCTCAATATTTTTTAGTATTATATATTTTTATTTAATTATTTTTGAAATTTCAGGTTTACGTTTCATCTCTATAATTCGAAGTGCCGATCTCAGATCTGGTTTTTTCATGCAATTTTAAGGTTCTGTTTTGGGTAATTCATAGTGGTTCCAGAACAAAACAGAACAGTAGCTTCGGTTTGGCGTCCCACCGCTGCTGGTACGACACTTTTCCTTCCCTTCTTCTTCTGATTTTCCTTGGGTTTATGATTTAGCTACCTGTCAAGAGGACTAAGTTCACTTCTGATGATGATATTTGGGTAAAACCCGTAGACTTTATCATCAATGTGCAAGGGCAAAGTCTGACTCACTCTGTCTCTCAGGGTGGAAGAAAAGGACTAGTATACCAAATTCAATTCATGGAAATGCAGCTTCTGTGGGTAAACTTAGTTGCATGTTTTTAAATTCAGCTTTTATGATAGTTGGATATAGCAACAGAATGCAGGCTATTTATTGAGCTAATGAGGTTAAGAAAATTACACGAACAGAAGCAAAACTATTTCAGTGCTGAAAATATATGAAGATATGTGAACTGACCTAGTGCAAATCCAGTCACCAGTCTTCCATCCTGGGGGAAAATTGTTATCAGATCCACCTCCAGAGGCCTCAATATTTGTCCCAAATCCACAAGAATAATCATCTTTCAATGCACCACATCTATAGCAGCTTGATCTGCTAGCATAGTTGTGAGCTCCACAATTCATAGCGGTGCAATACCAATCCCCTGCCAATGCTTCAGCCCAGTTGTACCTATAAATTGATGGGTCAGGACCTCCAAATTTGGGGTATCCACAACTTTGACATGAATCCCTCTTCTTGAAATTTATGTGCTGGCAAGCATCACACATCCAATCTCCTCCAGACCAACTCATTTTTCCTATTACATATATATATATATATATATATATATATATATATATATATACATGAAATTAGTTTTCATCAACTCACAGTGCATGTATCCTTAAACTCACATGCCAATGAGAAATACTAATAAGTCTTCTACACTTATGAGTACCTAACTTGGAGTTGAAAAGACAGGCAAAGAGATCCATTAAAGTATTGTTTGCATAGGGAACTGTAATCTTAGTATACTCAGTAAAGATTGCACGTCTTGTTTATTTTACAACGCATAATATAATTATTGGAGCTTCAAGTACCCTAATTTCTATATGATTAAACCATGAGGATCCATTTTACAAAAGATGATTGCATGTGACATCCATGTATAGGTAAATTATCTGTGACTAAATTATAAACACATAAACAAGAAGTTTACCTTATAGAAGAATAAAGAGGAAGTGTGACGCAAGCAATGATTTGTTGTCCTTAGAGTAGTAGTTTAAGAACAGCTTGTGAATCCAGATGGTGAGTCTAGTGCACGTCTTGTTTTTTTTTTGTATATCTATGGCCACTAAGTAATTAAGTGTATGGTTATGTGTGTGACTATATATATATGGTTATAGGTGAGAGAGAAGCTAGAGATAGAAAAATAGTAGATATATATGAGGATG